CTCTGTCACGTCTGGGAAGAGGAAAACGAAGAATGATCAAAGCAATAAAATTATATACCGCACTCGACAAATTCAAAGGCTAGCCAAAATTCTATGCATTTCAAGAAAAGACAGCACTAAATATGAAAATCAGCTAACTGACGAAGCTAGAAACACTGCCTACCATGACGAATAAGCTCAAACCGTGGATGACCAATCCATTTCTTCAAGTTGTCCTTCGATCCAGTGAAGTAGTTGTCGGCTACAATTACCTATAAATAAAAAAAGGCAAACAAGTAAAAATAAGTATATCTCGACACATTGCATTCATAAGCACGAGTATGAAATCTGTATGTGCTAACCTCATTCTTCTCGTTTTCCATCAGCTTATCAACTAAGTGCGACCCGATAAATCCAGCTCCACCAGTAATCAAGATTCTCATGTTTGCCTGTCGTATAGATGTTATTAATATGCCACATTTCATATATTACGGCATAAAAATGTTTGGAATCCAGTAGGAAAATAAAACCGTAAGGAAATTTGTGCCACAACACACACACACACACACACACACATTTAGCAGACGAAATCATACCTTAAAAAATTTTGCTTTTCTCAATGGTGAAGGCTCGGGAGGAGCCTTCACACTTGCATGGTTGTCTCCTTGTGATACTTCTTTAGCCATTTGTGAGATTCCTTTTCGATTTCTGAATTCCATAACAATTAGATCAAATTAACCATCATATCCAAAACAAAAAAAAAAATCCAAAATACATTTAGGCCTCGTTTGGTTGCCAAGATAAGATTAAATAATCTAATGAAACCCAATTATATTATTGAACCTTCGATGATCCAATGAAAAACATGCCTAGAAGGCAAGATAAGCGCCATGATAACATTATATTTGTGGGTCGACCCGACAAGTTATCGGGGATACCAATTATTTAGTTAATCATGGCTAATCTTCCCAACCAAACAAGGCCTTACAGAAAAAGAAAAAAAGACCATGACACTGCAATCACTCATTCACCACCAACAACTTGTCAAAAATTACAATGCTGTAGGAATACTGCAAGTGGTCTCTATTTAAAAAATTCACTGAAGAACACGAAAACGCAATCGACGAATACACTCAACTTCATAGCAGATCCGTCGTCCTGGTTACAGATATGCAGAAATCGAAAACGGAATACCAAAATGCAGTAATAATACTAATAATAAAAGACCTAAAAAAAATTAAAAATTTGTATGAAGATTAACAGCGAATCAAAGCTTTAATTACATGAATCAAATCATACAAAATCAATTTCAGCAAAAATAAAAACTCCGATCACCTGTAGATAATCCCGATGTATAAACTACGCGGGAACACAATTTTCCTACACAGTGGGGAAAAGACTAGAAATTTACACACTGTAAATAATAATAATAATAATAATAATAAACGAAGGCGATCTTACCAGCAGGGTAAAACAAAAATATTGGGGGTTGTTGAAATTTGGCGAATTAGATTTATAATCGGCGCATCGTCTTCGTGAACAAAATAAGTATAGTAATTAATATTAATTAATTATTAATTATTATGTAAAATTTTCAGTGGATGGCATTCGAAGATATCGTACTTGCTCTCCGCCACCTAATTATAGTCGCGCCACGTGTCAGTTTTATACATGAACTTTGACTGGGATTTCTCTTACGGGGTTTTATTTACAGAACGAACGAACGAACGAACTCGGTTGACACGTAACTAATTTTATCTATAATCTTTGTCTTAAGCTTTATCCGGTGGCACTAATTTGTAGTAATTAACTACTAATTACGATTGTGATGTTATACCGTGTTGTATTGTATGCATTATGGATTTGAAGTCCCTTAGTTCGAATGTATTAATACTTTTTGAAGGGGGAGCCGTTAATAGTAGGGGTTGTCTAGGGTCCGAGAGGGTCTGTACTACTCGGACCCAAACGAATAAATCTGGTGCGTTGAAAATATTAAATAAATAATTATAACCGTTGATTTGAAGTACGATCCAAGTATGACTCAGTACGAACCTAGGTATTTATTAATTTTAGTACAAACCTAGTAAAATTAGATCGTACACATATCGTACTTCATCGTACTCCATCGTACTTCATGTAAAATTACTATATTACCATTACACAATTAAACTAGAGAATTAAAAAAATCAATAATATATTAAAACGTAAAAGCTGTTAATCTTTTTCCTCAAAAGTCAAATCTCAGCCCTAATTACCAATTAACATTTCTTATCCAATACAATCCTTCGAGAAAATTACTGGTGGCCAAGAGACTGGTTCATCGTTTGCCCCAACTCTCAATCTTCATCGTTTCGAGAAAATTCTTCGAGAACATTACTGTAAGTGCTCATCCCCGACTCTCAATCTTCTCCGATGGCCAAGAGACTGGTTCGGATTGGTGGATGATAGATGGAATTATTGGGTTATTCAATGCGGCTCGGGATTCATTATTCATTATTTCTCTCATACAGCTCGGAGGATTCCTTGAAGGTCGAAAGCTTATTCCCATGATTTACCAAATTGAGTTTCTTGAAGTTCAGATTTCCCGAATAAGTTTATTTGTAGAGCTCGAAGGCAGCCTTCGAAATTGGCTTCGTGGCAACTCAAATTCCCTTTCGGTGGTGTTGCGAGGAGCCTCGAAAGAAATACTCGGAGATCGGCCTTGAAGGAGCTGTGCTGATCTGATTTTCCCCAGCTTATCAGTTTACCGAACAAGTTTGGACTCATCTCTCGAGAATGGATCTTTGAAAGTCACATTCGCTTATAATGGCTCGAATTGGTCACGGCCCTACATTTCTTACAGCCCATATTTCTTCTGCGAGGTACATTCGAATATGATAAATAACTTAATATTTATTTATGTAATGAGAAAATGTCTCATGATCTTTAATCAATCAGCAAGTGCTGGAGAAAATAATTTGAGATGGTACAACAACTATATTTTCTATATGGTTTGGATTTGTATGATTTCGCAAATGAAAAATCTATCCGAGTATTCGGGTAGCGAGCACGAGCTCGTTAAACAAAGAAAATATGTCCGAGTATTCAGGCAGCGAGCACGAGCTCGTTAAACAGAAAAAATCTATCCGAGTATTCGGGTAGCGAGCTCGAGCTCGTTAAAACGAAAATCTATCCGAGTATTCGGGCAGCGAGCATGAGCTCGTTAAACAGAAAAAATATATCCGAGTATTCGGGTAGCAAGCACGAGCTCGTTAAAATGAAATTCTATCCGTGTATTCGGGTAGCGAGCACGAGCTCGTTAAAATGAAATTCTATCCGAGTATTCGGTTAGCGAGCATGAGCTCGTTAAAAGGAAAATCTATCCGAGTATTCGGGTAGCGAGCACGAGCTCGTTAAAACGAAATTCTATCCGAGTATTCGGGTAGCGAGCACGAGCTCGTTAAAAGGAAAATCTATCCGAGTATTCGGGTAGCGAGCGCGAGCTCGTTAAAAGGAAAATCTATCCGAGTATTCGGGTAGCGAGCGCGAGCTCGTTAAAAGGAAAATCTATCAGAGTATTCAGGTAGCGAGCACGAGCTCGTTTAACTGAGAAAATCTTCCGAGTATTCGGGTAGCGAGCACTAGCCTGATTGAAAGATTATTATAGAACGAAATGTATCGAAATAAGCCTGAAATAAAGAAAAATGAAATGGATGTAACTAAGCATATAAAATTGCTCAGAAAATGAAACAGGAGAAAATGGTAGGGTATTGAAAATCTCCATACCTTCTCTTTATCCGATTCTCCTTGAACTAAAATACAAGAGTGTGCATAATGCACTTGATTTTGAAGTTAGGAAATAATTCGAATGGGAAACCAAAGGGGATAGGAAAATGGTTGGCCGAGCTCTTCAGCTCATTTACCCGATCAAATGATACGAGCTTCATCCGGCCAAACAAGTACGAACTCACCGCTTCGAAAAAAAAAAAAAAAAAAAAAAAAAAAAAAAGAAATCCGAGCCAACAAGACATCATAACATTAACATAAACCAAACCCCCTAGAAAAGCAACTAAGAACATAGTCAGTGGGTTAAGAAAATAATTCATACTCCAAGCTGATCAATTCGTATTCTAACGTTCAACTTGGAGTGGGGGACTAGTTGATCCGGACAGATTTACATGGCCTAATAAGGCAAGGCCCAACAGAGTTGGCCCACGGTCGAAGAAGGAGATAAGACCACATGAGATGCGGGCTTATTTGCCCATCCCATCGGATCTTTATAAATAGACCAAAACATTGAGCCCACAAATCTAAGACCCAAAGAATATAATACATTATCCAGGAGAGATGAACTACGAGACCCCCGACGAGTTGGAGACCTCTAAACGAGCTAAAGATAGCTCATGAGTGCCAACGGCCGAGCCCCGAGCGCCGAGCGCCGAGTCGAGGAGCCAAAAAGCACCGAACGCCGAGCCCCGAGCGACGAGCCAGCGAGCGCCGAGCCCCGAGCGCCGAGCGCCGAGTCGAGGAGCCAAAAAGCACCGAACGCCGAGCCCCGAGCGACGAGCCAGCGAGCGCCGAGCGCCGAGTCGAGGAGCCAAAAAGCACCGAACACCAAGCGCCGATTAGCGAACCCCGAGCGACGAGCAACGAGATGAAGATGCCACCTCATAACTTAGACACTAAGAATAGAAAATATCTTCATAACTTAACTCCTAAGACTTATTGTCATGGACTTGAAATAATTCCCTTAATCGAATTGGATGAAAGCAATGGGATCCGAAAAGCCTCTCCTATATATAGAAGGTTCATAAACCTCAAGGTAAGTATTCTTGATCTTAACACATTATTTTCTCTCGAATATATTTATCTCCGAATCTTTGAGGTGTTCTAACTTGGGCGTCGGAGTGCTAACGCCGGGAGCACCTCTCCCGGTCCCTTTTGCAGGTCCGCGACGAACAGGCCTAACATGGAACGGACTTAAAGATTCGAGATTCCTTGAAGCGGAAAACCCAACCGCATCAATATATATATATATATATATATATATATATATATATATATATATATATATATACCGAGAAAGCCGATGTTTATAGTTTCGGAATGCTCTGCTTCGAGCTTCTAACGGGGAAAGTTCCGTTCGAAGATGGCCATTTACAAGGCGAGAAAATGGCTCGAAACATACGAGCTGGCGAGAGGCCTCTTTTTTCGTACCCTTCTCCGAAATACTTGACAAATCTCACGAAAAAATGCTGGCAAACGAACCCTAATTTACGACCGAGTTTTTCCTCTATATGTAGGGTTTTACGGTACATCAAGAAAATCCTCGTCATAAATCCGGACCACGGCCACCCTGACTCTCCGCCGCCACTAGTGGACTACTGCGACATGGAGGCAGGGTACTTGAAGAAGTTTCCGGAAAAGGGGGGCGCGGGGGTTTTGGCCCCCCCGGTTCTGCAGATCCCGTTTCAGATGTTCACGTACAAGATAGTGGAGAAGGAGAAATTCTACTCCAAGAAATGGGAGATTCATAGGCCAGCTTCGATGTTTGACCAAGATCATAATATGGACGATTTCTTGCTTGCGCCGAGCGATCGGAGGTCCGTTTGTTCGGAGATTATCGACACCAAGAATTCCGGCATTGCTGTGGATATGAGGTCCGTTATTTCCGAGATTCCGCAACGGAAAATGCACCCGTTGGATCAGAGCTCGTTTGGTTTGGAGAGTCCTAGGAGGAAACTTTCGAGTAAATCGTTTAATCTGGAGAGGAGAACCGACCAGAATTTCACTAGTCGGGAGCTGAGAGAGGTTCTTGATAAAGCGATTATAGCATCCAAAGTAGCGGAATCTTCTCAGTTAGTGACGAAAGTGACGGAGCATAAAGCGGAGAGTACCGAGATTCTTGAAAAGAAACAGTCTTTGAGACCAATAGTTGACCAAAAAACGAAATCTTTGGAGGGGGAAATGATACTGCGGCCCACGAGAAATCGGAAATTAAGCGAGATTCCGGAGAAGATAGTGAAGAATGGAGAATCTATAAAGAACACCGTTGAAAAACCGAGGAAAAAACTGGCAAGACAACTGTGATCATTAAACAGATGAAAGATGTAATAAAGACCAAGAAAATTGAAGGTTTGCTCTTTTCTTCCATTTTGTTGTCATAATTTCTACGTCGAAATGTAGTAAAATATTCTAAATAGAATTTCTGATTTTGTTTACTCAGAAACCCGAAACAGGAAAACGAGGTCCGTTTTCTCCGCAGCTTCATCTCCAGCGAGAGCTTTCGGCCAATCAGAAGCACCGAAAAACGAGCCGATCAGAATGAAGAAGAAAACTATGTCCGTTTCTTCGCCAGCTTCTTCTCCGTCTAGGGTTTTCAGAAAGTGCAGCCAATCAGAAGCATCACCGAAAGACGAGTCGCCGTCAAGAATGATGATGAAGAAGAAAAGTGCACCCGTTTCTTCGCCAGCTTCTTCGCCTTCCCGAACTTTCGCCACGTGCGCTTCTCCTTCGCCGAGACAAGTGTCGGCCTGTCATTCGTCGATGGAGAATAATTCTTCTTCGTCGCCACTGGACCCGTTCGGGCGGTGCTCGAGACTCGGTAGACAGACCTCACTTCCGGACGTGACTGTGGGCCCACAAAGACCTCATCTAGATCGTGTTTCGTCTCATGTAGCATAGTTTTTTTTTTGTCTGAACTACACAAATGTAATATGTTTTAAGGAAGAAAGAAAGAAAAAAGGCAATGCAGTTTAATCCGGTTTAGGGGGAGTGTTAGAAAAGCCATGATTTGTTCATATTTTGAGTATATTCCTTTTTAATTTTTTAATTTATTATTTTTTTTTCAGTTTGTATATTTTCGAAATGAAAGTAAAATTTTGGGATTGATTTCTTTCAAAAGCATAAAGATGAACATGATCATGTGATTCATATACAATCATAAACTAAAATCAAGAATCGGATTTGAGTTCAAAACTATATACAAACATAAACTCGATCACAGGATCGATCGACAGATTACATTGGTCGAAAAAACCGATCTTTTCCGCTGCAATACAGCATATAAAGTTTCTCATAGTAGCTCCTTGCAAGAATTCGGCATTCATTAATAGCATTGGGAAATTGCCGTTTAATTTCAGAAACGGGTTTCTTTAATCGAAGCTCCGGATCCCCATCGATCAAACACTTCGCCAAATCACGTCCCCTAATATATTAAAAACAAATAAAAAAAAAATCACTAACATCATTTTCGGTCATTATATTTATAAGACGACCAAATAAATAAATAAAATACAAATACGAAAGCAGAAGTAACTACCACATCATCACGAAATGGCAAAGTGATTCTCGTGTATATACTTGGTGTCGGTAAAGCGCACAAACGGCATTCATACAAAGCTCTTCGTCTTCTTCAAAGGCATCGAGCATGTGGGCCCCACACGTCCATGTTTTGCTCCTCCATTTCGGATTTTTTTCATCAATATTAATATTTTCGTTAATTGGCGAAACCTCGTCTTCATTGTCGGAATCATTGATTTCTATAGCCAAATTTGTATTATCTGCACACGAATCATATTACTTTACTCAAAATAAAACATCTTCGAACCAACAAATTAAAATCGAAAAAAAAAGCAACATAAATATGTTAATCCTACACTCTTATAGATACCATTATCCAAACACTCTAAAAATATGTTAATCCTACACTCTTATTAATCATTATTTGTTTATCTTACAAATCAACAGAGACCCTATTGGATATATATGTTGTAACAACAAATTATAGAAGGCACCACTAATTCCAATAGTTGAAATATATAGTTTATATTGGGGTTGATTAAAGTGGTTTGCTCTCAGTTGTGAAATTAATTATACTAAATCACAGTAATAGATCTGTAGTAGAATTTCTTTGTGCTTCCAACTATATATATATTTATTTGAAACTACTATCATTCTAAACAACAACAATTGTGGATGTCTGGTTTTCTGTACAATTCATGGAATGGAATCTCAACTGTCGACCTCTTATACTGACAAAAACCGACAAACTAGAACACCGAGTATGGTGTGAACTGTAATTAATCATTAACACGCAATCCTTCAATAAGCCCAACTCCAAATAGATTGTTAAGAAAAATCAATCAAACACGTAGTTCTAAGTAAATTAATTGAAGAAATTAATTGATAAACCGATAAAACAACCGTCTAAATCTTTGATAACCCCAGAAACATTGTCAAATTTGTTTTCCTGTACACAATAACTCCATGAAACACAATTATATATGGATTTGTCCAATTCATGAATTAGAATACACACAAAAATTAAAACCCTACACCTTAACTTTCTTGTTTTCCTTAATTCGTAGAGAAGAGAAGAAAGATTATACCTCGACTATATCCCCGCAGGAAAAGAACGATTGATGAAGATGATTTTTATTTTTATTGATGATGATGGCGACGAGATTTGTTTTTTTCTCTTTTTTTAGACGATGAATAAACAAAGAAAACAAAAAAAAAAAGGATTGAAGAGATTAGGGTTTAATGAGAATAATTAGATCGTAATAATGAGATTGTAATAAGCTTTTAAATTATTGATTTTCTAATTATATTTTTTATTTTATATAAAAGGGTTTTTATGTAATTTCATCTGTAATTCAGGGTTCGTACATTTTTTTACTGGGTACGTACTAATCCTACGTGGCGCATTCTTATTGGTTTCGTACGGTCCGAGTAGTACAGACCCTCTCGGACCGTAGACAGCCCCTTAATGGTATCGTAAGATTAAATAATCTACAAGTCCATGTAGAATTGATAATTACAAATTCTCCGAGTTATTTCACCGTCTTACAATTACACCCATATATAGTTATGAGTAATAAAATCTTAATGATTTCATTGGCCCCGTTTTGTTGGCAAGATAAGATTAGCCAAAATAAGACTAAATAATCTTATGAGACCCAATTATTTTATTTGAGCTTGAAAGGTCCAACAAAAAAAACTCATTAAAAGGCAAGATAAGCCAAGATAAGACAAGATAAGCCATGATAATATAATTTTGGCGGGTCGACCCGGCAAATTATTGAGGATACCAAACATCAAATTAAGTCCAACTATTTAGTTAATCATGGTTTATCTTGGCAACCAAACGGGGCCATAGAATATTCATTTATAAATTTCCAAATCTACTCACATGGGGTCAATGTAATATATTCATAGAGGGGTAAAAATATTATTTTGTCTTACTTTAGGGGTTACCCGTAGTTTATCAATAGTTTATTTGTTTAATAAATGGTAATTTGGACAATTCATTTATTCCAGAAGGGCATGTAAAGGATTGCTAATTTTATGTGGTATTTGCAAAACTAATACCACAGAGGTTAATAAATTATTTAATTTTACTTCAAGGTGTATCCGTAATTCACCTATTTTTTTTTTATATTTTTATATAAATTAGTAGAGAATTTGTATAATGTGCTCTACCAATAGGTGTATGCTGGCTCCTTCGATCCTACACCCGGTGATAAACACCGGATGGGGCTTCTGCTGCCACATGTCATTTTTTTAATTTAAATATAATTCAAAAAGGTTCCCCTTAGCGGAAAATCCATTATTAAATAATTACAAATGACCTATTATTTAACAAGACCCTTTCGGAGTTTATCTTTTTATATTTGATCTTTCTTTTTGTTCTTTTTTTTCT